CGGGGATTGAAAAGCACGACGATGGATGACCAGCCCGTGCGGAAAGCCGCTCTTGAGAAAGCAGTTCAGGGCAGTGCATGCCTCTCGTTACATTGGAAACCTCGACCACGCCGCCGTGTCCGAACGAACCTTTCGTAAGCCCCGGGCCCTACGNNNNTGCGGCCCCGGTGCTTCCAGTCCGCCGATAGATCCAGCAGGCCTACGAGATTGGTTTCGCAGGGATCTTCCGTGACATTTCGGCATGCCAATTCCATGTTTATTTTCTTAACAGCACCCAATACTTCCATGTTTTCTCAGCAACATCCAGTTGTTTCAGTGTCGGGTCTGTGTTGACTTGCGTTTCCGCGCTCGCTCTCAGAGGCTGCCTTGTAGGTAGAGGCATGACACGGCACAGAGCCGTAGCGTTTGCCATGACCACATAAGCAGCAAGAAGCAGCAGCGCAGTAGAGAGGCTCAGCATCAGCCATGACCTCTCCCGTGCTCGTGCCCATTTTGCAAGCATGGTTCCTTGAGAAGCTCGGCTTGGAGGGTCTTCAAGAAGACGACGAGCTGGACTTCGACGCTCTGTCAGACGAGCAGCTTCTTAACTGGGCCATCGCGGTGCGCCGATTGCTCCTGTGCGGCCTGATTCCGCGCGAGCTTCGGCAGCGAGTGCGGCGTCAGCTGCAGAATGCGCACTTGGAGCTGTGCTCTCGCGAAGACGAGGAGTGGGAGCGGCAGACCATGCGTCAAGTCCACGCGGAGGGCCGTGTCGATGGTGCTGACGTCATCTACCGCGAGTTGCAGCGGGAGGGGATTCGCTTCCCGGACGCGGACCTGATCTTCGACGTGTGGATGGAGCGCCAGTTGCAGCGGGGGCCCGACTAGAGGACAGCGGAAGGCCGGTTATAAAACAAAATGCATACGCCTTTTGCTTCTGGAATTTCCGACATGATGCAAGATGCAAGGGAGCGAGCCCTTGACACGAACGATTCCTGACTTTTTTCTGCCTCGCTCGCGGTTCAAGCGCGGGCGTGGGGTTGGAGTGGTTACCGGGCGGGCTTGCGCCGCTGGAGCCTGAGAGTGTTAGGAGTGCAGAGTGCCAGCTAGCCTGCCGTTTTTTGTAGCCCGCCCCAGCCCGTATAACTAGAGGGTCCCGCATTTCCGAACCCCTTCTCGCCCAGGTCTTGACTTCTTCTTTCAACCTTCTGCGCCCGGGCCTCGGCTTTGCTTCGAAGGGTTTGGTGTTCCTTCGTCCGAGTGTGCGCAGGAGTGCCCGCTGCTGCCTCCTGTCCCGCCTGCGTAAGACTAGAGTGCCCTGTGCTCCCGAGCCCTTCCCGGGAGCCCCGGCCCCCGCTTGCAGGTTTTCTTCGCGTCGGCGGCGGCTTCTTCCGCGACTTCCCGTCGCCTGGGCCCTGGGCCACTTTGCCTTTTGTGTGAGCCTGCCGTTGTACTGCCGAACCCTTGCAGCACCGTTTGTGCACAAGCTTTAGCTTTCAAGTTCTGTGTTTGGGGCGACATGGAGGCGGCTCTTGCCGAAGCGCGTTGCGCGGCCGTGTCACTGGTACTCGACTTTTCGTACGGTGCGTCCTCGATCTCTGGGTTTCGCATCTTCGAGGACCGTGGTCGCAGAGGATGCTGGAGGCAGATGAAGCGGCTCTGCTCGGAGTCGAGTCAGGCCACGCACTTCCTGGAGATGGCCGGAGCTACCTTAATTGGGCGTCGGCTCGCTGGAGTTCTTCCGCAGTCAGCCTCGCCGTCCGAAGGAGCAGCGTGTCTTTGACGCAGTGCAGCGCGTCAGGGAGTTGCTGGCAGCCGCTCCGCCGCCTCGCACGAGCTCACCGGTCGTGGAAGCCGGGTTGCTGGCTGTGGAGCTGGTGCTGGACCCCCTGGCCTCCGAGGAAGCTCGCCTCGGCTTGCATGTGTGGCCAGGCTCGTCCCCGACCCAGGCGTACCGGAAGATGATGAAGCTTTGTCATCCGGACAAGCTGCCGAATTGCGCAAAAGCCGCCAGCGCTGCCATCGAGCTATCGAACCTGTCGGAAGCCGTCCAGGCCGAGCGCGATGACTTTCGAGGCGCCCCTCTCACACTGGCCGAGACTCGGCTCATTGAAGCCGTGCGGCGAGCGGAGCGCAGCACACCTCCTGCTCAGGCTCGCTGAAAGGTCAAAAAAAACCGTGCGCCATAGTATTGTGAGTCTCGGACAGGTCGATTCTCTTCACGACCGCCGTGGTGCTGGTCCTCCAGTCGAGGCTTGGCGGTCGTCGTTGATGCGGTTCCGGACGCCCTTCTCTCGGGCAGGCCTCGACTGCTTCTTCAACGAACGAGCCCGCGGGTTTCGAGGCCTGGTTTGTTTTGGGACTTTAAGTTGATAGACACCTGGCTTCCTGTCAGGCCCCTACTGCATCGACTTCGGCCCCACCGCCTCATCATGAGGAGGCCGGACATCGGGCCCAGGAATGGCGTGACGTCCATCAAGTCCTGTCAGGCTTCTGGCCCCGCCGATCCGAGCGCTCGTGATGGCCAGGCCGGACATCGGAGCCATTAAGAGTGTGATATACGTCAAGTCCCGCCAGGCTGCGGATTCCGGTGCCTCGCGAGCTCCAGAGCCGGCTGCAGCTTCGGCCCCTCCAGGCCCGGGTCCCGAGGACGACGAGGGTGACGACATGGGCGAGGACGGCGACCCGGAGGTCGGCCCCGAGGACGAGGACGATGACATGGGCGAGGACGGCGATCCGGAGTCCGGCCCCGAGGACGGCAAGATGGGTGGCTGGCTGCGCTACGAGCCGGTGAATGCCGCGGAGCTCGACAGGGCCTTGGACTCCGACGCAGTTCGGCGCTTTGCGGAGTTCAACCTCTTCGAGATCCTCCTGAGCCTACGCCGCCGCCTGGTGAAGATCCGCAACGGCGCGGGTTTGCTGCCGGTGTGGCAGCGTGAGAGCCGGCATCCGCCGGGGATGCAGGGCCGCGTCTTTTGCGGCATTGGGCGCCTGCCGCGGCCCGAGGAGGTGGGTGGCAAGCGCAAAGCCGACGAGGAAAAGCGCGAGGAGTTGAAGGCCGCGCGGGCCGCGCTCATCGCCCAGCTGCCGAAGCCGATCCAGCGGGAGATCCTTGTGCTGGAGCTGCCGGACGCTTTGGTGGGCCGGAGCGCCTTCTCGTCCCCCAGGCTCGTCAAGTACTTCTGCAGGCACGCCCTTGATGTGGTTGAGGTGGATTTGGTGAACAGTTTTTACCAGCTGCTCTCCAAGGAGATCGAGCTCCCGAGCGCTCTGCGTGATATTTGTGCCCCGTCCATGGTGTGGAAGGCCTGTGCTACTACTGTGGCACCTTTCCTGCATGCTGCCTTTGCGGATATGGGACATTTGCACACCCCGATGGTCCCGCACCGTTGGAAGGACGGTTGGATGGTGCTTGCACCGAAAGCGGGTAAACCGCTCTGCCGCGCCTGCGACGTCCGGCCCCTGGCGCTCCAAGATCCGGGTGGTAAAGCAGCTATTCGCACATTGAAAGAGGCCATACAACCCTACGTGGATGAGTACATGCAGGCAATACCACAGTATGCCTACCTCCAGAAACGTGATGGGCAAATGGCAATTCTGCGTGCGTGCGCACACCTACACCAGGTACGACAAATGGCAGCAGGCCAAATTTACACGGTGCATAACTATCGAGAAGGGCATCGTCGCATGTCACTTTGTGGGGGGCT